CATCTTCCATACAGCACAATATTATTCCTACCACACACACCATACCATACCATAGTTCCTACCACACGTACCATACCATACCATACCATACCATACCACACCATACGTACCATACCGTACCATACCATACCATGGCGTACCATAGCAGACCAAACCATATCACACCAATGCCACACCGTACCATACCATACCATACCTCCAGTACCATACCATACCATATCATACCATACCGTACCATACCATACCTACCATACCATTCCATACCACTCCATACCGAAAACCATATTACTTACATGGTTTCGTGCCCCTCCCACCCCTCCAGGGAGGCCCCGCCTGAGCGAGGAGGGTGTCGGAATACCATACTATTTACATGGTTTCGTGCCCCTCCCACCCCTGCAGGGAGGCCCCGCCTGAGCGAGGAGGGTATCCGAAAACCATACTACTTACATGGTTTCGTGCCCCTCCCACACCTCCAGGGAGGCCCCGCCTGAGCGAGGAGGGTATCGGAAAACCATACTATTTACATGGTTTCGTGCCCCTCCCACCCTTCCAGGGAGGCCCCGCCTGAGCGAGGAGGGTATCCGAAAACCATACTATTTACATGGTTTCGTGCCCTCCCACACCTCCAGGGAGGCCCCGCCTGAGCGAGGAGGGTATCCGAAAACCATACTATTTACATGGTTTCGTGCCCCTCCCACCTCTCCAGGGAGGCCCCGCCTGAGCCCCTCCCACCTCTCCAGGGAGGCCCCGCCTGAGCGAGGAGGGTATCCGAAAATCATACTATTTACATGGTTTCGTGCTCCTCCCACCCCTGCAGGGAGGCCCCGCCTGAGCGAGGAGGGTATCCGAAAACCATACTATTTACATGGCTTCGTGCCCCGTCCCACCTCTCCAGGGAGGCAAAACCATACTATTTACATGGTTTCGTGCCCCTCCCACACCTCCAGGGGGGGCCCGCCTGAGCGAGGAGGGTATCAGAAAATTCCCCACATCCTGAGTGGGGTTCTTGTTTTCCCAGAACACCCTCTCCTTCCCACCCACCTCCCGCTCCATCTTCCATACAGCACAATATTATTCCTACCACACACACCATACCATACCATAGTTCCTACCACACGTACCATACCATACCATACCATACCATACCATATCATACCACACCATACGTACCATACCGTACCATACCATACCATGGCGTACCATAGCATACCATACCATATCATTACCATACCATACCATACCATACCATACCATACCATATCATACCATACCGTACCATACCATACCTACCATACCATTCCATACCACTCCATACCGCCATACTACTTACATGGTTTCGTGCCCCTCCCACCCCTCCAGGGAGGCCCCGCCTGAGCGAGGAGGGTATCGGAATACCATACTATTTACATGGTTTCGTGCCCCTCCCACCCTTCCAGGGAGGCCCCGCCTGAGCGAGGAGGGTATCGGAATACCATACTATTTACATGGTTTCGTGCCCCTCCCACCCCTCCAGGGAGGCCCCGCCTGAGCGAGGAGGGTATCGGAATACCATACTATTTACATGGTTTCGTGCCCCTCCCACCCCTCCAGGGAGGCCCCGCCTGAGCGAGGAGGGTATCGGAATACCATACTATTTACATGGTTTCGTGCCCCTCCCACCCCTCCAGGGAGGCCCCGCCTGAGCGAGGAGGGTATCGGAAAACCATACTATTTACATGGTTTCGTGCCCCTCCCACCCCTCCAGGGAGGCCCCGCCTGAGCGAGGAGGGTATCCGAAAACCATACTATTTACATGGTTTCGTGCCCCTCCCACCCCTCCAGGGAGGCCCCGCCTGAGCGAGGAGGGTATCGGAAAACCATACTATTTACATGGTTTCGTGCCCCTCCCACCCCTCCAGGGAGGCCCCGCCTGAGCGAGGAGGGTATCCGAAAACCATACTATTTACATGGTTTCGTGCCCCTCCCACCCTCCAGGGAGGCCCCGCCTGAGCGAGGAGGGTATCCGAAAATTCCCCACATCCTGAGTGGGGCTCTTGTTTTCCCAGAACACCCTCTCCTTCCCACCCACCTCCCGCTCCATCTTCCATACAGCACAATATTATTCCTACCACACACACCATACCATACCATAGTTCCTACCACACATAACCATACCATACCATACCATACCATACCACACCATACGTACCATACCGTACCATACCATACCATGGCGTACCATAGCATACCATACCATATCACACAATGCCACACCGTACCATACCATACCATACCTCTACCATACCATACCATATCATACCATACCGTACCATACCATACCTACCATACCATTCCATACCACTCCATACCGAAACCATACTACTTACATGGTTTCGTGCCCCTCCCACCCCTCCAGGGAGGCCCCGCCTGAGCGAGGAGGGTATCCGAATACCATACTATTTACATGGTTTCGTGCCCCTCCCACCCCTCCAGGGAGGCCCCGCCTGAGCGAGGAGGGTATCCGAAAACCATACTATTTACATGGTTTCGTGCCCCTCCCACCTCTCCAGGGAGGCCCCGCCTGAGCGAGGAGGGTATCCGAAAACCATACTATTTACATGGTTTCGTGCCCCTCCCACCCTCCAGGGAGGCCCCGCCTGAGCGAGGAGGGTATCCGAAAACCATACTATTTACATGGTTTCGTGCCCCTCCCACACCGCCAGGGAGGCCCCGCCTGAGCGAGGAGGGTATCGGAAAACCATACTATTTACATGGTTTCGTGCCCCTCCCACCTCTCCAGGGAGGCCCCGCCTGAGCGAGGAGGGTATCCGAAAACCATACTATTTACATGGTTTCGTGCCCCTCCCACCCCTGCAGGGAGGCCCCGCCTGAGCGAGAAGGGTATCCGAAAACCCTACTATTTACATGGTTTCGTGCCCCATCCCACCTCTCCAGGGAGGCAAAACCATATTATTTACATGGTTTCGTGCCCCTCCCACACCTCCAGGGAGGCCCCGCCTGAGCGAGGAGGGTATCCGAAAACCATACTATTTACATGGTTTCGTGCCCCTCCCACCTCTCCAGGGAGGCCCCGCCTGAGCGAGGAGGGTATCCGAAACCATACTATTTACATGGTTTCGTGCTCCCCCACCCCTGCAGGGAGGCCCCGCCTGAGCAAGGAGGGTATCGGAAACCATACTATTTACATGGTTTCGTGCCCCTCCCACCTCTCCAGGGAGGCCCCGCCTGAGCGAGGAGGGTATCGGAAAACCATACTATTTACATGGTTTCGTGCCCCTCCCACCCCTCCAGGGAGGCCCCGCCTGAGCGAGGAGGGTATCGGAAACCATACTATTTACATGGTTTCGTGCCCCTCCCACCCCTCCAGGGAGGCCCCGCCTGAGCGAGGAGGGTATCGGAAAACCATACTATTTACATGGTTTCGTGCCCCTCCCACACCTCCAGGGAGGCCCCGCCTGAGCGAGGAGGGCATCAAGAAAATGGGTCCCACGAAACCGTTAATCTCTTTATGTGGGGAACTCCGTTAGCATAATTTTACACACAAGATTTCCCGGAGTTTGGTTTTCGCTTTGATTTTTTTCAAAGTGCTGCTCTCGCTGAGGCGCCGGCTTCATTTTTGGGTTTCCGCTGGTTCCGAATCGTGCTCCCGCTGCAGCGCTGGCCTCATTTCCGTGCTTCCGCTCGTTCCGGATCGTGCTCCCGCTGCAGCGCTGGCCTCATTTCCGCGCTTCCGCTCGTTCCGAATCGTGTTCCCGCTGCAGCGCTGGCGTCATTTCCCGTGCCATGCCACGGCATGCAATGCAATGCTAGGTTGCGTTCCGCTGCGCGATGCCATGTCTTCAGCTGCAGCTGTCATATCCAGTGCGTAAGTGCCACGTCATGCTATGCCATGCTACGTTTTGATCTTCAACGCCATGCTATGCAATGTTATGTTCGGGGCCGCTGTGCGATGCCATGCTTTGCGTTGCAAAGCTTTGTGATGCAATTCTTCACTACGCCACGCTACGCCATGCTGTGACATACTACGCTTTGCGGTGCTCTTCTACGCCATGCCATGCCGTGCTCTACAATGCATCGCGTACCCTTTCGGGATCATTGCCCTGCTCGACATCCGTCTGTGCGAGTAGAGAGGGGATCTACGCCATGGTCAGGGATGGGAGGGAGGGGTAGGATGTCAGATATGACGCGAGCGCACCTAGCTTGTCCTCCTCCCCCCTCCTCCCTCCTCCCTCCTCCCTCCCTCCTCCCTCCTCCCTCCTCCCTCCTCTCCTCCCTCCTCTCCCTCCTCCTCCCTCCTCCTCCTCTCCTCCTCCTCCTCCTCCTCCTCCTCCTCCTCCTCCTCCTCCTCCTCTCCTCCTCCTCCTCCCTCTCCTCCTCCTCCTCCTCCTCCTCCTCCTCCTCCTCCTCCTCCTCCCTCCTCCCTCCTCCCTCTCCTCCTCCTCCTCCTCCTCCTCCTCCTCCTCCTCCTCCTCCTCCTCCTCCTCCTCCTCCTCCTCCTCCTCGCCTTGCAGAGCCGGGGCTCCTCGCGGCGCCGGGGCCGCCTCGCGGGGTCGGCCCTCGGACCAGGGGCCGGGGCAGAGCGCGCCCGGGGCGCCCCCCGAAGCGAGGCGTGCCCCTCGGCGGGCCGCCTCGCGCGCGCTCGAGTGCTGGAAGGGCGCAGCTCCCGGCGGCCCGTGCCGACGGTCCCCCTCCCTCGAGGAGGAGGAGGAGGAGGAGGAGGAAGAGGAGGAGGAGGGGGAGGAGGAGGGGAAGGGAGGGGGAGGAGAGGAGGAGGAGAGGAGGAGGAGGAGGAGGAGGAGGAGGAGTGCCCTCGAGGGTGGGAGGATACTTTACGGGGGGGGGGGGGGAACTACTGTCCTTGCGTCCTCGGTGCCCGTGCAGAAGTTTTAGTCCGACTGATTTTCTGGAGGCTGCAGCGCCACCGAGTCTCGACAAGCCGTATGCTTCAGCGAGGAGCCAATCCAAAAATCCGCTGCCGTCCGGCCGAGGTCGGTCGCCGCCTCCTCGCTCTGCTCGTGGGAGTGCGCGCCCCGCGCGGGGGCGGCCAGCGTCGTCGCGGAGGGCCTCTGGAGATCCTGTGAGGGCAGGCAAAAGGGGCGCCGCTGCGAAGAGGAGAGGGAGGGGGACGGGGGAAGGGGATGGGAGAGGTCGAGAAGACGGGAGAGGTGAGAGGGGATGCGTGGTGGACGAAGGAGTACTCGAGGGAAGGGGAGAGTGAAAGAGTGGCCCTCGTCGGGTTCACGATGGAACACCCTATTCATAGTGATACTCGCTGGGGCCTGATGTGCGCTGAACACTGACACGCGCCAACGACAGTTCCAGCCTCAATCTGCCTCTCTGTTCTCCTTGGTCCCGAGATCGGTACAGTGCAACAGAGCGGGACGCAGTGTTGACAAAGAAAAAGTAATGAAGCGTGTGTGGAATGGAAGCGCATGCATACGTGCGTGCATTGTGAGGGCACGCATGCCGTGCATACTTTGAGGCTCGAGTCCTCCCTCCTCGCTCTGCCACTTATTTGCAGCACTCCCCGTGCCACTCGTCCTCCTGCTCCTCTCATCCTCCTGCTCCTCCTGCTCCTCCTCCTCCTCCTCCTCATCCTCCTTCTCCTCTTCCTCCTTCTCCTCGTCTTCCTGCTCCTCCTGCCTCCTCCTCCTCCTCCTCCGCCTCCTCCTGCTCCTGCTCCCTCTTCCTCCTCCTCCTCCTCCTCCTCCTACTCCTCCTCCCTCCTCCTCCTCCCTCTTCCTCCTCCTCCTCCTCCTCCTCCTCTTCCTCCTCCTCCTCCTCCTCCTCCTCCTCCTCCTCCTCTCCTTCTCCCTCCTCCTCCTCCTCCTCCTCCTCCTCCTCCCTCCTCCTCCTACTCTCCTGCCATTCCCCCTCCTGCTCCTCTCATCGCCTCTCCCCTCCCTCCCCTTCACGCCCCTCGCCTCCCCCCCTTCATGATGAGAGGGGAGGAGGCGTGGAGGGGAGGATTCGGGTCGGGCGAAAGGGGGGGATAGCAAAGGGGGGGTTTGAGAATCAGCTCACGTAGCTGATTTTCCCGGCGCCTCCCAGCGCCAGAGTCGGCTAATGTATCGAAGAATGGGCCCCTCCGTGGGGCCGAAACCAGCTGCATGCAGCAAATTTCGTAACCCCCCTTTCCCAATCCCCCCCTTTCGTCCGGCCCGAAGGATGGGGGAGGGGATGGAGAGGGGGAGGAGGGGCCCTCGTCCATCATCTCCCCCTTCTCATTTCCAACACAGGAAAGGAATGAGAGTGTCAGGGGTTGGGCGGTATAGTCATGTGCGTCATTGCCGAAGTCCTCTTCCACAATGGCCCCACCACTGACGCAGGCCCAGACGAGCTTCGCGCAATCAAAAGTGTCGTTTGTCGGTTTCTGTGCCTGGATAAACGGTGTTGTCAAACACAGAGCGGCTCATTTGAGCAGCCCTGATCACATGGACGGAGCTCCGTGTAATTAATCATGGGCTCAGTCAGGCGATGCCGCGTGCAGATGATGAACCAAACATATCGTAAGCCTGCGCAAGATAAGGCGTTTGGGAAGTAAGTGTCCCCGTGCTCAGGGTCAGGAAACACAGTAGTGCACGGGTGATTAGTACACAGTCCCATCGACAGGCTGAATTCGTGGCCTGCGCCATGGCCTCGTCGATCGTTCGCACGATGACGTCAGTTTCGTCTGCTCCTCCACTAGCTTATCTTCTGTTTATGCAGGGCAGGTGCCAGCGCAGTCTAGTCACCATGAATAAAGCACGGAAATCATATTCAAACAAAACATGGAAAAAACGATGTGAACGATGCTTGTGTATCTGCATCTGCTTCCTGGAATCGAACGCCGGCCAAGACGCCTCGGCGCGGATGAGACTGCCTCTGCCTGTGTCAGCGGCGGATCGCCTAAGCCAGCTTCTGGGACGTCCGACTCAAGAGGTCGGCTGCATGGTCAGCTTCAACGGCTCGACCTCGATCTGGGACAAGTTGAGAGATCAGATTAATATGCTCGACGGGGAAAAAGAGCAGCCAGGTTATGACTTGGGAGTGTCGGCCTCCTCCTCCAACGCCTCGTCATCGTCAGCATCATCATGGTCATCATCGACGCGTCGTCGACGCCATCGTAATTGTCATCACCATCACCATCGTCAGATTCATCCTAGTCGCAATCAGCACCCGCATATTTTTTCGTATTCAACAGCACCCGCATCCCAGTCGTCATTATCACAGTCGTCATCATCACCACCACCATCATCATCGTAATGTTCATCATCATCATCACCACCATCATCATCGTCTTCTTCTTCAGCTTCATCATCATCATCATCATCATCATCATCAGAATCATCATCATCGCCAACATCATCATCAGCATCATCAGAGTCATCAGCAACCAACATTAGCAACATCATCATCGTCATCATCACAGTCATCAGCATCAGCATCATCAGCATCATCATCAGAGTCATCACCATCATAATCAGCATCAGCAGCATCATCGCCAATATCGTCATCATCATCATCGTCATCATCACCATCATCATCACAATCAGCATCGTCACAGTCACCATCATCATCATCAGCAGCAGCAGCAACATCGTCATCATCGTCATCACCACCATCGCCATCATCGTCGTCATCATCGTCATCGTCAGCATCACCATCATCATCAACATCATCATTATCAGCATCAGCATCATCGTCATCATCATCGTCATGGCAACCAGCATTGGCATCATCATCATAGTAACCATTGCTATCACCAAAGGCAACATAATCATCATCTCCGTGTCTGTGCTCATCAGGATCATACTTCTCTCGTCGACGTCACTATCCTTCATAGTCCTTATCCGCCTCGCGTTGCTCCTCCGACCTGGAGGAAGGGAATTCAGATGTGGCGGAGAAGCTGCATCCTTGTGCTGCCACTCGGAGTCGGTCTGGCACGCCGCGGGCCTCGTCTCAGCAGCCTGCATAGCATGAAGGGGGGCACAAAGACAAGTGCAGCGAAGGTGCAAAGAGGGGTGGTGAGGTAACTGTCTTGTCTTGCATTGAACTGAATTGGCTTGCTGTGATCGTCTGTGCTGGGCCGTGCTACAATTGCGCTGGTTTGCCTTGTTTTGCCATGCCGTGCTTTCCTGTGCGTTGCATGTATGTGTCTATGTTTTCCCTGAACTTCCACGCTGCTAGATGCGTCGCAACACTTTGCCTTGATGTGCGTGGTTCGTCTTGGTCATGCATTGCTCTGCTCTCCCTCATGTTGCTGCGCAGCGTATCTGACATATTTGCTGAAGCTCGCCATGCTTGGCCCGCACTGCAATGCTGCACCGTCCATTCCGCTGCTGTCTGGCAAGGCCTTCCCATGGTTTGTCGTGTCGCGCCTTGACTCGTATTGCTGTCCGCCACCGCGACGTTCGGGGATGGACAGACCCCCCTTTAGTAAAACGTGGTTTAGTGAAAACGACCTGAGGCCCAAACCTGGCGGGCGCAAGCCTGGAAAATAGCGGCCACGGCGCCCTCTCGAGAACCGAAAACGGACAATTCACTAATCGACGTGTCACTGTTGGGGGTTCTGTCCACACCCGAGACGTAGGCACTGAATGGAATGCCCCCGAGCCCAGTCCTTCGAATTGAATGTTCAGACAATGAGTTTGCGGGCCAGCCTGGGCGCTGCCTGGGCGGTCTTCGGCGCTCCCGTTTGCTCTTGGAATTCGCCGCGAGGTCTAGCCCGAGGGCCTCGAAAGCACTTGGGAACCTAAATTTCAACATGCCGCAAATTTGTCCCAGGGGCCCGCGCTGGAGCTGGAGGCTCAAAAATTTGCGCGTAAATTTGTCCCAGGGGCCCGTAAATTTGTCCCAGGGGCCCATGCCGTAAATTTGCCCGGGGATGTCTTGGAGGCCCTGGAGCTGGCCCAGAAGGCCTCTACGTTTTTGTGAGTGATGCAAACATTCGCAGCGTCGGTATCAAGAGCGTCCAGGCGTCACAAACACATGCACACAGACACACAGACACACAGACACACAGACACACACACACACACACACACACACACACACACACACACGCACGTAGGGAAATGAATCAAGCGAGAAACGCCCGGACCAGGCCAGCTCACGCAGCGTGGGGAAGGTGGATCCGCCCACAGGGGATCGACAGCAACACTCGCGAGGGGGCAGTCGTGAGGGCAACGCGGGCAGGGTAAAGAGGGGGAAAAAGGACGGCAATGAGGAAACAGTGCGACAGTGACAAGCATGGCGCAGAGAGAAAGCGGCAACGGCAGCCCGACCAGCAGAGCAGAACAGGGCAGCGTAAGGAATCCCAGGTCCGACAGGGGGGCCTCACGGGGAAACAACAAGGACAGAGCGGGCAGCAGCAGGGTGGGGCATGCACACACACACACACACTTTTTGAGTCGGAGGCTGGGCAGAGGGCGACTGCTCCTGCGGACAAGCTACAGGGGACAACACACTGTATGCAAATTGAGGCGGCGATGCACGAGGGAAGGGGAGGAGCCCCGGCGCGACAGGGAGAGAGGAAGCCGGGCCCACTCAGGCAAGTCACCGGCTGCGGCGGGGGAAGCGCCAAGGAGGGGGATCCAGTGCTGGCACGGAGCTGCAGCTGGGGGGAAGGCAGCCCAGCCAGACTGGGCGGCCAGTCACACTCACACACACACACACTCACACACACACACACACACTTTTTGGCGGTAGCGGCCTCGTGCGCGGCGACGAGGGGGAGAGAACACACGCACACACACACACACACGCACACACACACACACACTGAAGACGTCCGCGGGCCACTGAAGCATTCATCAAGCTGATCATGTAGCACTGGCCCATCCTTGCTGCGTTTGCGAGATCGGGGAAGAGCGGGGAAATTATTACCCCTACCCATGTCCAAAATGTTTTGTTGCCCACCGTGCATCAGGTTGCTGTTACACGCGGCGGCAAAGCCGTTCCATCGACATTGCAGCCGACGACTGGCAATGCGAGACCGCATCGCACAAGAGTCAATGCATTGGCGCTCGCGTTGTAACCAAACGACTCTTCAGCCTAGATTCCACCTGGCTATCGCCCAACCGAAGAACGGCTTACATGAGCGCACGGGCTGACCCGACGGGAATTGAGCCCACACGGCCAACCTTGCAGGAGAAATCCACCCAATTGGCGATCTCCCAAATTGGCCGAACTCACCCGCCCGAGAGTCAGCCCCTGGCGGTTTGGAGATATGTGAGATGTTCGGGCCCAGGGGCACCAGGGCACCGGAAACAACGATCCCCAAACCAACCCCCAGACCTCCAGCGCCCTCTGAACGCCTATGCGTCGACGAGTGTCGCGCCCAAGCACGCCCTCAACAACCTCCTAGCGTGCCAAACCAGACAAAAACAACATGTAACACATTAGCCTTGCTAATAAACCCAACATTATGCAATTGCGAGTACTGCTGTTGTGAAGATCGTCTTCGGAAAGACTCCCTATAGGTCCGCGAAACGTGTACGCGTGTGTGTGCCGAAATGAGTGGCGCAGACGCGTGCGAACCCTGCCGCTGGGGCCTTGGGTGGAGCTCCCTTGAGGGGCCACGAAGCGCGTGAGGGGTGCGCCGACATGGGCGGCGCGGACGCCTGCGGTCGGTGCCCGAGGGGCCCTGGGCGGAGCTCTGCATGGGGTCACGAAGCGTGTGAGGGGTGTGCCGAAACGAGTGGCGCGGACGCGCGTGGACGGTGCCACTGGGGCCTGGGCATGCCGACATGAGTGGCGCGGGGACGCGTGCGGACGGTGCCACTGGGGCCTCGGGTGGAGCCCCCTATGGGGCCACGAAGCGTGTGAGGGGCGTGCCGAAATGGGTGGCGCGGACGCGTGCGGACGGTGCCCGTGGGGCCTCGGGTGGAGCTCCCCATGGGGCCACGAAGCGTGTGAGGGGTGTGCCGAAACGGATGGCGATGATGGTGATGATGACAGCCATTAGGATAACGACGATGGTGATGATGACGGCGATGATAATGATGATTACGATGGTGACGGCGATGAGGATGATGCTGGTGCTGCTAATGAAGATGGAGGCGGGATAAGGGGGAGGAGGAGGAGGAGGAGGAGGAGGAGGGGGAGGAGGAGGAGGAGAAGGAGGAGGAATGAGACGCGGGACGCTGTCTCTTCAAAACGTGGACCCATCACCACAGGACGGTTGGGAATTATCCCCGAAATGGTTCCACGTCGCCCAAGTGAAACAGTTTCTGCTCCCCGCGCCCCGGCAAAACGACGAACCTCAGCCCAAGCAATCAAACAACTTGTTTGGCGATTTGCCCCATCCCCAACGAGGTGCGCCAACGATTGAGCCAGCTGTGCAATCGGGCCCCAACACGACGTGCAATCTGCCTGCTGTTCTCCCCACCAGGCAAGTGTCGGGATACATGTTCCGTTGCGGGCCGGAAGATGCGAAGGACCACGGTCCGCACTACGGCGCCGAACTCAATCGCCACGAGCAAGAGAGACAAGAGCAGTAGCAAGAGAGGTATACCTCCTTTGGTGGGCCCCTTTTTTGCTCGTGACAGCTGTTGGGCAGTACCCGAAAACAAGTAAGAGAGACGGGTCCAGCGGGCGTGCCCTGGCAGGCGGGTCGGGCGGGCGGGCCGTAACCGGCGGGAAAGGCGGGCGGGACATTCACGCGGGCGGGCTTCCAAGCAGGCGAGCGGTTGGGTGTTACCAGCCTGGAACATATCCCTATCCCTATGCTGGGCACCTCCTCATCACGATGCCAATCTTAGGGATTCCCTTATTTTTTGAAGGCGAATCCCTAAGATTGACATCGCCTTTTGGCGTGTCAATCTTCGGGATAGGGATACGTTCGAGGCTGGTAATGGTGGCCCCTGACGGGCGAAAGGGGCGGGCCGGACAACAAACAGGGCGACGGGTCGGGGTCGGGCGGGCGGGCGGACCTTCACCTGCGGGTCGGGCGGGCGGATCCGCTGACCCTGGCGGGCGAGCTGGGCGGGCGGTCCCTGACAGGCGGGACGGGTAAGCGGCGGGCGGGGCACCAAGGATGGCAGCGAAGAAGCTCCAGGCGAGAGCGCGACTTTTTTGGGGCGAGAGCGCGGCGCCTCAGTATATAATGAAGAAACTCGAAGCGAGAATACCGTGATTGAGCCGTGTGCGAAGTTGTCCGAAGCGGGAAGGCCGCTCGCTAATACATCAGCGGGATCCGGCAACAGTGCGAGTCATGGAAGGCGACTGCGCGATGCCTGAACAGCGTCTGAGGAAGACCCGCGCAGGAGCCCGATTGCCTGGTGAATTCTGAGGAATACGAGCGCGGGAACCGACTCGCGAGCTGAGGTCTCGAGCGAGAGCGGCACGCCTGAGTAAATAACAAGGAACTACCAGGCGTGAGCCGTTGCTGTAGCCCGGGGGCCCAACAACCCAGTTTGACCATCTAGACTTCCCCTCACAAGCGAAGCAAATGCGAGCCTCGTCGCACGTCTCGCCCGGCGGTTCAGCGCACCTGGAGCGGACGCAGGGGAGAGGCAGAGCAAGAGCAGAGGGGGCAGGGGGAGGCAGCAGTGAGCAAATGAGAAGGAAGAGGTAGAAGGGAAAGGGGGACAGGAGTAGGGTTCCTTCGGGGGAGGGGCAGAGGAAGGGGGGGATGGATGATAGGGGGAAAGCCGAAGAGTCATTTGCCAGAAGAACGCGGTTCCTGGCAAAAGAGGGTTATGACGATGATACGAATATCTGTCTCGTCACTAATGATGGGTATCTTTGTCATGCCTTCAATAATCTGCTAAGCTGTGAATCAATATGTGCAAAAGGACAGGAGGGGAAGGAGGAGAGACGACTACGACGACCCTCGACCTTTTCCTCGCGCGCGCAGGCGGGCCCGCGGTGCCCGCGCTAGGCGAGTCTTGTCCTGTAAGCACGTATGCAGCTGCGGCGGACGGCGGCAGGGAGCGAGCAGGAGGAGAGGTTGAACAACTCCCCCCGTGGCGGGACGAGTAGGCCCAAGGTTTTAGCCTACCCCTGGGAAGTCTTGGGGTTCTTGGAACCCTCCGAAGCACATTTGCCCCCCCCGGCGCCAACTCCCAAAAACCGTTTAAAGCGCCACGGGAAGGGGATCCGATACAGCCGCTGGATCTCCCCTTGGGAGAAGGCCGAAGCGGAACGACGAATCCCACAAACAAGCCCCTGACATCAAATGTTGATGTTGTAGTCCGGAAGCAAGCACATTGTCCCGTTCTTATAGAGCATGCAGTGCGGCCCCGTCTGAGACGTTGCAGGCAATATGATTAACCTCCGGCGGTTAAAATAGTTATCATAATCGTTCGCGGCCCTGTGCTGCCAGATGTCTTCACTCTGATTGAATACGCATTTACCTCCGTCGTCTGCGTCATCATGATAATTGGTGTTCCGCTTGCTCGCGTGGTACCTGCGCTGGGTCGTGCGACCGCTCGATGCACGACTCTCCGACCACGGTCCTTCGTGGCCGTCACGGCCAAAGTCGTGCCACATGTCGCCAGCGAAATTGCGGTGCGAAAATCTAGAGTCGCGCCATATGTCGCCCCCGCACTCTGGGAGGCCGGGATGCGGGACAGAGACGCAAACCAGGGCCGGCCGGGCGACGCACTGATCGAATCTTGAAGGGGGGGGGGTCGCATGACTGGGCCTTCACATGGCCGTGATATGACCAGGCATTCCGCTGCCTTTGTACGCTGTGTGCTGCGGCAGCCTGTCTTGTCCCTGTCTCGCGGCCCCTGCTCCTCGGCGGCCTCGGCGGCGGCTCCGGCAGCCCCTCGAGCCGCGGGTGCAGCCCAGGCGCGCCATCGCGGCCATCGGCAACCGCGGCCAGGCCATCGCCCTGCGGCGGCGCGGGAAGAGATGGGGCAACAGTGGAGGCACCGACTGAGTCGGTGATCCGATGATGCTCGTCATCATATTCCACGGGTTTTCAAGGACTCGTTTCAGGGGCACTGACAGCTGAGCCGGTAGCAGTCCCGTCTGTGGGACATGTGGCACCAGTTGCAGCAGTAGGCGATTGCAGTGGGTTTTGCAGGCTGCGGCTGCGTTCCGCCTGCGGCTGTAACACCTTGCAGAGGGTCATCAGTGGACGCACCAACATCGGCTGAGCCGATGTCAAGAAATCCATGTTTCGCAAACATGCGCATTATTCCGATGGCCACTGTGGCGTTGCGCTGGCCATGCTTGGCAATCAAACGCGTCCACAATTCACCACGTTGGTCTTGCAGCGGCACCTTCCATTCGCATTGGCCGATGAATCAGCCACCGTGGCTTGTATTGGCCACGAATCCGTGCGTATCTTGGACTTGGGCTGAGTCCCAAGTCCCCGGTCAATGTTTCCAGCATGCCCGAGCTTTGAACTGCCTCCCTTATGCTGTCGTCAAATTCGTATGAATATGCACGCATCTGCTGCGGGCAGTGTGGGAACTGTGTCGAATCCTGAGCATCCGTCACATCTTGCACGTCTGTCGGGAATCTTATGTGTCGATTTCGTATGTCAAATCAGTTATGCATTCCCGAACAATGTTCGTAGTGCGAAGAGACCGATGTTCAAGAAAGGCAGGATTGATATCCGCATCCCAAAAACAGCAATGGCCTTGCCAACTCTCTCACCAATAATGATTCCTTCCTTGCCTTCGATCGCTTCGTCAATCATTACATGTTGCTGTATCGATTGGACTGTCGCCTTTACCACGTCATTCGTGGAAGTTGTGACAGCAATCGCCGCACGGGATCCTTGGACACATTTATCCCTTCCTTAGCGAATGTCCGCGCAAAAAGGCGTCTCACTTCTTATCCCAACGGATTGCTTTTGTCAACGGTCATTCTGGTCTTCACAACGTTGAATTGAAATGTCTCTGCGGTATTTCCGTCATTGTTGGCCTGGTTCCTCAAATCGATTAGCTTCGAGGCCTTTTTCAAGCTGGACTTCAGGTTTGTACTCATATTTGTCATTGATACCGTAGAAATTGAGACGGTTGGGACCGAGCTCCAACAATTTGTCGCGCCTTCTTTTGGCAGCTTCAGAAATCATGCGTGGCCAGACCTTCGGGGCCTTAACACTCGTGACACGGAATTTGACGCCGTAGCACGGATCATCTGTAAGGAAAGGCTGCGTCTCTCCCATTTCGTAAACCTGGCCTTCACCCAGGTGCTTGCTCACCAACCGCGAAGCCGTGGGAGGGGCAGTTCCGTCCGCTGCTAGATTCTCCTCCCACATGCGCCCGTCCAGTCGTTGGTTCGAACTGCTCGTCTTCAACGTCTGATTGCACAGAGCGGTGGGCATGTCATCGGTGTCCCAATTGGACCGATAATACGTCTCCATACAACGAGCCACCCATCAGTTACCCTTGTACCGTGTTTCCTCAAAATATGATATAACATGAGCTTCTTTTTGAGGACCTCTGGGAAACGAGAATATGGCTCGCATCGGTACGGATGAAATTTGCCTGTTCGGCATTCCACGGGGCTTCGCGGTACGATTGTTGGCCCAGCGTCTCTTTTGCTGATCGTATGATATCAGATTGCCGCGGACCAGACACTAGCGGATTCTTACGCGGACGTCAATGCGGATCCCGATGCAAACGGCGGCAATGCCCGGAGCGCACTGGGAGGGGCGTTACGTCACGGGGGGTGGGCGGGGGCCAGGGGCTATAACGCCCGTGATGCCCCAAGCAATAAAGAAGTACACTCAAAAAACGTTGTGGCGCTCCTGTGGGCGAGTCGCTCCTCGTCGCACTTGCAATTTCTTCTGATGTCCTCGGAACCGGACCAGACGTCAGGGGCCCATTGCCGGTCAGCTTACAAAACGACCATAACCACGGGCTATTCAAGGAATGGAGGGTGGTACCGGTGCGGAACTGAAGGTACGTGCAACTGTGCGTCCACACCGCCCTACGCACACGTTCCGTGTATCGCGAGCTAGGATCGTTACCAACTCCGCTACCAACTAGAATTGCACGGGCTGGAAGCTGTGCGAGAGTAAGCATGGTGGCAATGAGATGTTGATTGCAATGCTTATGCTCTCCGTACAAGATAAAGGTATGCGTCGGCGCTTGGGCCAAATAGCGGCGGCCCTTCCGATGCGAGTGAGGGGGGGGGAGGGGAGGGGGGAAGAAAGGGAAGAGGAAGAGGGGCAGAAGGGGGGCAGCTTGCTCCACTGGTCGCCCACCTGTGGTGCCATTCTCTCTCGCGATGTCGCCGTCTCTGCCGCTGCTCATACCCTCTACAAGCGTGGCTACCTACGTGGCCTGAGTTGAATGAAAAGGGGGGGGCAAAGGGGTCGGGGAAGGCCGCTTGACCTCAACCCGATCTCCGCCTTCAGGGCGCGGATCTCCGCCTTCGCCGCGAGCAACTCCGCACTCCTCCTGGCGGCCTCCTGGCGCCCACCGCCGAGGGGGGGCGCGAACGAGTGCGCCCACGTCGTTCTCGTAACACGCGCCCCTCCAGTCCTCACCCTGGTTTCCCAAGATCCTCCTCCTCCTCCTCCTCCTCCTCCTCCTCCTCCTCCTCCTCCTCTTCGCTCATCGTCATCACTGGGGTTCCTCCCGTTAACGCTCCTCATCCCATGTATGATCCACCCTTCTTCCTCCGCATCCACCCTTCCCACTAATCATCGTCATCATTGTTATCTTCCTCCTCCTCATCAGCAGCATCATCATAAACCTCATCCTGGTCACCACCATCATCGACACCATCATTATCATCAGCAACCGCATCATCATCGTCGTCAGCAGCACCAACAATTACAGACGCAACCTCCTCATCCTAATCCTCATCAGGGTCGTCACCGTCATCACCATCTTCATCATCGTCACCGTCACCACGAGCATACTCATCATCATAATCATCATGATGAGCATCACCAAGATCAGCATCATAAGAATACAGATTTCCGTCATCATCGTAACCACCATCATCATCATCATCATCATCATCATCATCATCATGATCATCGCCATCATCATCGTCATCATCATCCGCACCATCAACACCATCAGCATCGCCATCCATACCGTCATCGTAAGCGTCACCGCCAGTGAGATCGTCATCGGCAGCACCATCCGAATCAGCATTATAATCATAACCAAGACCATGATCACCATAATCAGCATCAGCATAATCACCATCACCATCGCCGCAATCACCACCATTATCATCAACGCCAGCATCGTCGCCATCACCATCAGTATTACTCGCAAGCTGATGGTCACCATCACCATCACCCGAATAATGATTATCAACATCACCACCATCAGCTTTATCAGCATCAACATCGTCATAACCAACATCATCATCATGACCATCCTCATCACCACCACCGCCCTTGTCGTCATAAACGAACATACGCATGCGATAATCACTATCCCCCGTGGTCCTCACCAAAACTAACTTAGCCAATCTAGTCACCTGCATCGTGGTCATTGCCAAATGTTTGTGTGGATCGTCATCCGTATCAACTCCAGAATCGGAATCGTCATCGTTGTCGCCGTCATTGTCGTCGTCGCCATAAAGCTTATGATGGCGATGCTGGCAATGACGGCGACAACAATGCCATCAGCATCGGTCCCATACAATCACGTGATGAACCCAACAATATCTTCGGGGTGATTTTTTACTTCTTTCTCAAGGTTGCTACTCCCTCGAACTGTCGACTGGAAATTTTGCGATGGGCTGGCCTTGAGGCCTACCGATGTTTCGGCGTTGGCACTTGCTACTTACAAGATGCAGCCAGCCCTAAGGGTGCTTCGGGGCAGATGCAATGAGCCGGGAAGCTAGGCTTGGCCTCCAAAGCCCCACCCCTGAGCACCCCCGCCCCTGTGACGGCGGCACTGCAAGGGCAACCGCCTCAGGCCCGTCTAGGGCCAAGAGGGCCGCCGGCCACCTACGAGAGACCAAAAACGAACACGAAGTCCCCGAACGAATTCCGCCCCCGCCGCGAGGCCTATGGCTCTCTGAACAGAAGAGGCCGCCGCCCCCCACGCAAAAGTTTGAAATCGGCCTCTGCCTGCTACGGGGCCGCCTTCCCAACCTTTCGTCTGTTTGTCGGTTCACTTCTTCTCGGCCTTCTTGGCCCCCTCGCCTCTGCCGCCGTCCTGCTTGAGTGCCATGTTCTCCAGCTCTTTCGCCGCCTTCGACCTCGGGGCAGAATCGAAGTCGAGAAGAACCCCCGCCGCGCGGAGGCCCCCACTGGTTTTCAACAGGAACTGCGCGTCGCGGAGCTCGGGGAGCGAGTTGGTGCCGAACGCCCACTTGATCGTCGCCGCGTTGCCCTCGCCCTCGTTGGCCGCGCCCCCGTTGAAGCACCGCGTGGCCACCAAGCGGTCGTCCTAGTCCTGCGCATTGAGGCCCCACTTCACTTCGCGAGCACCTGCGCAACTGTCTTGGCCTCTACTGGAAAGGGGCCTCGCTGGATCGCAAGCGCCCACCTCTGCGCTCTTGGGCGTCGCGGCCTCGCCGAGGCGGAAGAGAGGCATCTTCAGGTTAACATCGGGCCGCTCGCCGAGCGGGCGCCCGCGGAATTCCGCGCCCGCGGCCTCGACCTCTTCCCGCGCTCGCTGCCCCTCGCGCTCGTAATGGTGGGCCCCCGATTCGAGAGTGATCGCGATCTGGGCGCCCTCCCGGAAGCTCGCCACTACGTCGCCGCCCCTCGCGTCGCCCCTGAGGGCGTCCTCGCGCTGGAGCGCCAGCTTGGCGAAGACCCCGTGCAATGTGGTCGCGCCCTTGCCTTCACCCTCGCCCCCGTCCGCCGCGGCCTCGCCGAGGGCCCCCTCCCCCCTCCTCTTGATGAGCCCCCCCACTGGCGCGAACCTGGCCCCGGAGACTTTGCGCGCCTTGGCGGCGCCGGCAGGGCCCGGGGCAGTTGAGCCGCAGAATATCTTTCAGCGCAGACTCCCGGCCTCGGGCAGCGCATCGGCGCTCGTCGACATGCTGGACCAAAGAATCCTTCCTGTTCACGCTGTCTGGCATGAGGGGAATGTTCGGTGCGGGGGCCGCCATTGGCAAGGCGAATCGGTTTGGTTCCGCGCCGCGGGCGCATGCGGAACGAATGTTTTCCCGCCCCGCCTTTTTCCTGGAAACCAGAGGTTGCGCATTGCTCGCGGCGCGCAGTTCCAGGGGCGCGCCGCATGTCGCGCAATCATTGGGCGCGTCGCGCGGTGCAACCAGTTCCCTATGCGATTCAGACGCGCGCCTCATCGGTGGCCAACCCCCACAATATACACGCGCGGCGCAAGCGCGTGGATCATAACTAAGCCACGACCGCCGCCCGATGAAAGCCAACCCGAACCGCGGGGGAGGTCAGGCGAGGGACGGGGCGGCGGAGGGAGAGGGGGGCAAGGAGGAAGAAGCGTTTAAGATGAGGGGGAAGCGAGGCAGCAGACCAGCAGGCCCCTCGAGCACGGCCCCAGGCGTGGAATGCCCACCGCGGCGGGGCGGCATCCCGGCAGGGGCGGCGGGCATTTTCATGGGGCTCTAGGAGGGTTAAGAAGTACCCACCAGATGCCCCTGAATGAGTTCGTGCTCTCAGGTCCTTTGCGGTTGCCTGCCGAACTGCTCATTCTCCAGGTCGCCCTGCGCTTGCTCCTTGCCCCCGCCCCCCTCGCCCTTCTCATTCCTGTCCGCCTCGCCCCGCCCTCCCTCGTCGTTCCCGCTCCGCTCCTCTTCCTCCTGCCGCCCCTCCCTCGCGCTGAAGTGCACATGGAATCGGCTCGAGCGTTCTGGCCGACCCTGCCCCCCCTTCCGCGCCCCCACTCTGGGCCGCCCCCGGTGGCGGAGCGACGCCTCCTCCTTTTTTATCCTCGTCCTCCTCCTCCTCCTCCTCCTCGCTCCTCGCCCCGCCCCCTCGCGGGGCCGTTCAGTGGCGGCGCAGTCTGCCGCGCATCGCCCCTCGCCCCCTTCCCGGGCTGCGTTCGCCGCGGCGGCGGCGGGCAAGAACCACCGCGGCGGACGCCGAAAGGACGAGCGGCCACCCTCTTGGGCCCGTCGCACACGCAACCACCATCGAGACAGACCAAACGGTCTCACCCAGCACCCTGACCCTGCTCTAACAAGAGGTCGCGGTCGGCACGGCACGACAACACCACATCGAGGTCGGCCAAAGGCAAATTGGCCAACCGCGCCAGCCACGGACGCTCACCAGCGATAGTTAACGCAGGTGCCTCGGCGTTGACTTGGGCAGAGGCCGTGCCCAACAAGCACGCGAGATCAGACTGCAACAGGGCCAAGCGCCCATAATGGGCCCAGACGCGAGTCCACGTCGAACGGTAACTTTCCGAAGCTGACTGCCCTGACAGCGAGCGCGGGGTCGTAGCGGGGCACGGAAGGAACTGCGCCTGGAACGGCGGCCTCCTGCCACCAGTTCGATCGCCTAAAAAATTATGTAGATGCAACTGAATGGACTTTACCTTTTGTTCACGTGTGCCCACGTTGAGTACATGATGTATGAGTGCTGGCGGTTTAAGAAGACGTCGCAGTTTCCGATTCTGCCACCTTCCTAATCGATCTAGGTCCGTCTTCGTCGGCATCGCGATCTCTAAAGCATGCGATTGATCCTGCCAGCGAGCGCCGCAGCCTTGCCTTGGGCCCAACGCTCAAACTGCCCTTGAGGACCCGCTGCGCCAGACGACCGCGCGCCGCATTTGCAACTTGCAGCCGAACTGAAATCTCTTCGGTCACGGACCCCGTCGTGCTAAGCCGCACTCCGAGATATTTGACGGTCGGGGTCACGCAGAGGGCCCAGTGCTGACCATCTTGCTGTGCCGCGCGAGTTTCCGCGCCCCTGTTTGCGACAGGCGGCACCCCTTGCCCGAAATCGCAATGGGCATGTTGGCTTTGGATGTTCAGCTTGAGGCCACTATCTTTGACAGGCTGCTGTAGGAACTGAAGAAAAGCGGTGACCTGGTTGAACCAGACACCACAACGAGACCGATCATATCGTCCATGAGCACGACCTATGAAACATCTAGCTTGGCAGTCGCATCGAAGTTGAAATTGTTTGAAATCCGATAGCTGTTGAAGACGGGGTCGCATTGTACTTGGAACTTGGACTCCCCCAATTTCTGCTTCACGAATATCATGACATATGTTGCTGGTAACCATATCGTGGATGGCATTTTTAAACTAAAAAACAAATAAACCCTTCAACGCTACCTTGCCGAACTCTTCTTTGACACATAGTTGTCGGCACGGTTGGTTGAGGTGCGGTGGTCGCGCACAATGCAACAAATTCCGTCATAGAGCTCCTCGGTAGTGAGCCGGGGCCCGCGACCTACAGCTAGCCGCTCCACTGCAAACCAAGCTTGCTCACGAGGCTGCAAATCGAAAGACTTCGCCAGACCCAGAAGAACCGCAGCTAGGACAGAGTGCCAGATCTGGGTGTTCTTTAAGGGAGTCGCGGAAGCGGCGTAGAATCTCGTCAACCACGACAATGGCGCCCCGGGTGGATCGTCCATTGAGTGCCCCAAATTGCGTGGCAGATAGCTTGCTGGCGGTAAACCGTAGTTCAGGCATCATAATGGCATTTCGATAACCTTCCCTATACACCCAATACTATAGATTTTTATGTGATGGTCCCTTGCGTTTGTCCCGTCCCCCTTCGGCTTCCGCGCGACACGGTCTACCCGTCCTTAAAGCGCTGCACTGTGCGGCCATGCGCTTGACTGGTTTGGAAGACTCCGTGCAATGGTTGGCAAAGCTGGTGGGTTCCAAGTTTCCATAGTTCTGCCACCGCGCCTCCTGGGTGAGCGCGTGTCCCTGAAAAAGGAAGAAGAGGAGACAGTAGGGTCGCTCCACTTGATAATTTGGGCGCTCTTGAAATTGGGCACACGGAAGAGGGCGGTTTCGACGTCTTCCACCGAATAAGACCCAATGAGGGCTTCGTCACAGTCGTGGAGCTCCTGAGGACGTCAAATCGTCTCCAAAGGTAATTTGTCAGCCTCGAAAATGTCACATACTGCATCGGCACGAACGTGCTGATCCTCAAGTTCTGCTCACTCGCTGCCCCCGTAGCAGGGGGATGGAATCGGGAAAGAAGCGCCTTGCCATCAAGTCCAAGGCGGGGCCTCCTGTGCTGGCAACGTGCACCTCTCGTGGGGTGCCTCGCGGAGCTGCAGGCCGGCCTGGCCAGGTCCACGGCGACCCAGGGAGCGGTCGCCAGGAGCACCGGCCAGGCGCGGCCCCCCCCGCAGCGGAGCGGATGGCAGCAGGCACGGGAAAAGATTACCAGCCTCGAACGTATCCCTATCCCTAAGATTGACACGCCAAGAGGCGACGACAATCTCAGGGAGTCGCCCTCAAAAATAAGGGAATCCTCAAGATTGGCATCGTGATGGGGAGGTGCCCAGCATAGGGATAGGGATATGTTCCAGGCCGGTGAAAAGATGGGCGCGGAGGGCGGGGAGCGCTAGACCCCGACCCCTGGAGCAGGGCCCCGCGCGCGAGACGAGGCCAGCACAACGCGCGACGACGGGCGAGAAAAGCCAGGCCGAGGCCCGCGGCCCCGCAGAGGCCCGCTGCCCGACTGCACACGCCCCCTGGGAAAGGACGCCGTCGTCGACGCACGGGTCGTTCGTCCGGGGGCTCTTGGCGGCCATGATCGGGGTGGGCGGCTTCTGTGCCAACCGTCGGCCGGCAGTGTAATTATTACAGAACGGTCATTTGTAATTCTGGTCATTTCCAATTCCGGCCACGAATTGCATATGAGAGGTGCCCTTGGGGCCTCCGGGGCCTAACAAGCGCGTTCATTTCTAATTCTGGTCATTTGCAATTCCGGCCACGAAATAGAAATGAAGCGCGCCGAAGGGGCGGCGGAGGCCACGTGCAGCACACGAATTAGAAATGAGCACTCTGTACGTGTATCGTTCATCGAGTCGGCTCGCCCAACATCGGCCACTGCTTCTGCTGTCCGTTGCCGTTTTTTCCCAACCATCCTGTGGTGTTGGGCCCTCGTTTTGAAGAGACAGCGCCCCGCGTCCCACCTCCTCTCCTCCTCCTCCCCCTCCTCGCCCTCCTCCCTCCTCCCCCTCCTTGCCTCTGCTCTCGGCACACCCCTCGCACGTTTCGTAGCCCCATAGGGAGCTCCACCGAAGGTCCCGGTGGCACAGCCCGCATGCGGTTCCCCCACCCAGGGCAGCGTTTCGTGGCCCCATAGGGAGCTCCACCGAAGCTCTCAGTGGCACAGCCCGCATGCGGTTCACCTAGGCGTTTCGTGGCCCCATAGGGAGCTCCACCGAAGGTCCCAGTGGCACAGCCCGCATGCGTTCCCCCACCCAGGGCAGGGCTTCGTGGCCCCATAGGGAGCTCCACCGAAGGTCCCAGTGGCACAGCCCGCATGCGGTTCCCCCACCTAGGGCAGCGTTTCGTGGCCCCATAGGGAGCTCCACCGAAGGTCCCAGTGGCACAGCCCGCATGCGGTTCCCCCACCCAGGGCAGCGTTTCGTGGCCCCATAGGGAGCTCCACCGAAGGTCCCAGTGGCACAGCCCGCATGCGGTTCCCCCACCCAGGGCAGCGTTTCGTAGCCCCATAGGGAGCTCCACCGAAGGTCCCAGTGGGGGTGCCCGCATGCGGTTCCCCCACCCAGGGCAGCGTTTCGTGGCCCCATAGGGAGCTCCACCGAAGGCCCCAGTGGGGGTGTTGATGTGGCACAGCCCGCATGCGGTTCCCCCACCCAGGGCAGCGTTTCGTAGCCCCATAGGGAGCTCCACCGAAGGTCCCAGTGGCACAGCCCGCATGCGGTTCCCCCACCCAGGGCAGCGTTTCGTGGCCCCATAGGGAGCTCCACCGAAGGTCCCAGTGGCACAGCCCGCATGCGGTTCCCCCACCCAGGGCAGCGTTTCGTGGCCCCATAGGGAGCTCCACCGAAGGTCCCAGTGGCGCAGTTCGCATGCGCCCCCCCCACCCAGGGCAGCGTTTCGTGGCCCCATAGGGAGCTCCCCCGAAGGTCCCAGTGGCGCAGTTCGCATGCGTCCCAGCGTTTCGTGGCCCCATAGGGAGCTCCACCGAAGGTCCCAGTGGCGCAGTTCGCATGCGTCCTCCCCACACCCAGTACAGCGTTTCGTGGCCCCATAGAGAGCTCCACCGAAGGTCCCAGTGGCGCAGTTCGCATGCGTCCCCCCCCCCCGCCCAGTACAGCGTTTCGTGGCCCCATACGGGGCTTCCCCGAATGCGATACCCACAACTGCATATGGTTGGATCCTTCGCCAGGCTAATTCTGTGCGGAACGCTCGCGTGGCCGCGCGCATGTGCAAGGCGAGAGCTGCAGGCAAGAGAGCGTGGCATCCAGCTAGTCAGGTCAGGCGAATTCGCCATCATTCGGCGGGGACAAGCCTCCCTCTAGTAAACCTCCCTTTAGTGAAAACTGCCTGGGACCGAAACCGACGGACCTGGACCCGCAAAAATAACGGCCGCGCCGCCCTCTCGCGAACCGAAAACGGCCAATTCCTTAATCGACGTGTCAGGGTAGGATGTCTGTCCGCCCCCGGATCATCCGTTGCAAACTCTGCTTGTGCGAAATGAGGGCCACGGTTGCCTCTGAAAATTTGTTGCGTGTAGTCTGGGCCGGTGGCGCCATGGTGGAATAATAAACAGGGATCGCTGCATCCACTGCCGCCCCTTCCAAAGAATTGAAGAATTCAGATGATGACGGATAGTGTTTGCCCTCTCCGCATGTTTCCCGCCACCGCCCCTGAAGGCCCCGACAGAGCACTTCCGAATCTAAGCTTGCAATTCTACCACTCGCTTTGGCAGGGGAGAATCATCAACACTGTGACGTACTTGGTGTAAGGCGCGGGCGAATCCCTCGCGGTCCAACCGCAACGGGGAGTCTTCCCTGTGTATCCAGCATCGGGATCATGCGAAGACATGTGTTTCTATAGGTCGGTGGTCTCGGTGGCCCCCATAGCAAATCGGTAAAGTATGCAACGCACGTGGTCTATACCCATTTCCGCCCCGCATGCGCGTGCATATGTAATCGATGGTTGTCCAGCATCGTCCATCCGAATGTTTCCACGTGCCCGTACGTTTGAAGTGAGGCCTGGACGTATTCAATGCACTCATTCCAATACTTTGAAGAACAGACGGAAATTTACCTCTATTGGTGTTTGTGGTTTGGGGCAATCTCCGTTTGCCCGCTTCTCATGCGTGGGGTGGGTCTGGCGCCACGGAGCCGTTCTCGCCCAGGCACCATGTCACCGAGGATCTCTTGGGAATCTTATTCCACGTGGCCTCACAAAGCTGCCAGGTGTTTTGTGACCTTCTGTGGGCGGCCTGGTGTGCATTGGTATCCTCTTCTGGGACATGATGGGACAGCTGGTTGGCGGGGGCGTAGCCGTTGAGCACGAACAAATCTCGATCATTCAGTCCGGAACAGCGAAAACGAATACCTAGTAAGCGCCCAGGGATCCATTGGCGTACACATCTAATTTCCGAAAGATCAAGATAACTAAGGTTGACAGCCGTTAGACACCCATCTTGGGGGCTGTCTTCGAGGTCGGAAACGCACGAAAAACCTCGGCCGTCCTGGCGACTCCCATGGACATCAATGCAATCTGGATGCTGACAATTGCTAACCGGCGTTCTTTCGCTAGCCTCAGAATTCCCCCCAGCCTGTCCACGTGAACAAGCGATTCAGCATTATAACTCAAGACCCTCAATAAATCCTTAAAGCGTCTATGTTTACTAGTAGGAGGGGCCGGTGGTCTCGTAGTCTGCGCGGCACTCGAAGGGGGCGAAGGCTCGGAAATGTGTGCGGTCAGTGCACCGATGTTGGAGCGAGTAGACCGACGACCTCGATACCAGTCCTCGCCCACGACTGCTGCCATGCTAAGAGCTCGTTTACCTCCCTGATGCCCTTTCTCCCGCATAGCAAAATAAAATTGTCTCGCTACCGCGGTCCCAGCAGGCTGGGCAACCTGCCAGCGCTCGCCACGTCGATGGGGTGTCCCTCCCGCCTCTCATCATCAGCCGCACATTGCAAAGCTGGGAGGACTCGAGAAGCACTTCGGGCGCCGAATGGCAACCCCGCGCTCCCCTCGGTAGGAAACGATGTCTTGAGCCGCCGAGGGGCTTCTTTTCACTTCCGCTGGCTTCCGCCTGCCACCCTTCCGCCGCCCTCCGCCGAGGAAGAGATGACAACTCAATCGATCCTCGAAGGCGAAAGGCGAGGCCCTTTCTGGAACGCCTGATGTGTCACCATCACCGTCGCCGACACCGTCGGCATCACCGTGATGTTGGTATGGATCACCGTGATATCTATAGCCAGAACTGCACGCCCCCTCATCATTCTCATCACCATTTCCACCCTCGCCATTCCTCACCCTCCCGCGTGCTCCTCATCCTCATGTTCCTCTTGATCACCCTCATCCTCTTCGCAATCCCCATCATCATCCTCGTCCTCCGCCGCCTCTTTCTGCCCCTCCCAATCACCCCTGGCATACATCACATGCCCATTTGCATACTCCTGCTCCTCCTTTCCATCTCTGCCCGCATCCTCCTTCCACTCGTCATTGCCAGACTCGTCATCATGGAGCTTGTCCTCATCATGGTCATCACGAGAATCACGATCAAAATCATGACCGCCGTAGTCGCCACCACCACGAATACCATCATGCAAAATCATCATCACCATCAGCAACATCATCTTTACCGCCCTCATAATTCGTCATAACCATCACCATAATCAGCATCATAATCGCCGTCAGCATCAGACTTGCCACCATCACTACCATCTTCGCAGATAGCCAATCATCGTTATCAGTATCAGTATCATCCTCCTCCGCATCATTCTCGTCATCCCTCATCTCCCTTGTCCTTGTCGTTCTCCCCATTGCATGCCTCCGCCTCCAGAGCTGATCCACCAGCGCCTAGTAGAAGGTACCTGTATATAAACGGTCCGACATGTTCAGCTAAGACTGGAATTACAGAAAACAAATTGTACTTCGAACGTGTTCCGACACGATTGCTAAATTTTGTTCTGCAAATAGCAATCACCACACAGCGGTGACCCAGGACGGAGGAGCGAGGAGGTCAGAGAGGGAAAGAAATAACGAGAGGAAGCGAGAAAAGGAACACCGTGGACGCCATCTAACAGCACGAGGCTCCAATGGCGGGCCATACCCAAGTAGCTGAGATGAGAGCATCCAGTGCATAGTAAGACGAGCACAACCAAAGCACAGTGCGAGTGAGGCCAGGCGGCGGTCCGACCCTGATTGTGAATGTGGTGACGCTACGGTTGGCGCTGCAAAGATAGCATGCAACATCGATCCCCAGAAAGCACGCTATCCCTGTTGAGGCGATCCCCCCGCGCGGGCCCCGCTTTTCCATGCTATCCCCCTGCGAAGGTCGCGTCGGTTCACGCTCGGCTGGCGAGATCTCGCCTGTCTGTCAGGCGGAAAGCACCAGCCGTTAACGCCTCGCTGAAAAGGAGCACGGGCTCCAAATACAGGGACTACTCCTTATCGCCAAAACTGGTTTGGCGGCGCTGCGAGTCCAATCTCCCCTGGCATCGATCAGGCGACGCGCAAGGGGAATCATCCAGCACCGCGCCCCGCGCCCCGCCCCGTGGTAGAATTAAATGTGATGCCTTGAGGTGTTCCT